AACTTTCCTAAAATTAGTAACATGCATCAGCATGTTACCTTTCTTTGTACAATGCAAATGAGAGCATAACCCCCAATTTCTCAATAAATTAAGTCAACCAAATATTTCTGAAAGTTGCTGAACAAAATGAACTTACATCTCATTTGATAAACAATCCACTGAAATTTGAATTATGTTCACCCTTCATCCAGCAACTCCACTCTGGGAGCCTACCCCACAGAGATAAAAGCATCAATATTGAAAGACATAGGGACAAGGATGTCAAGAGTAACTGTACACAGTTGCCAAGAACTGAAATAAGGTGAATACCCATCTATGGGGTTATGCCTTGATCCACACCCATTCATTAAAAATAATGAATTGGAATTATGTCTAAAGATTTATAGTAATTTCTACAAAGAATTGCTGAGTTGATATAGCTGTGTCCATAAATATGACCCAGCAATGTTTGTTATATATATTTGTGTATATATAAATATATATATATTTATATATATATATGTTTAGGATATCATGAGTACAAAAAAAGTGGTAATATATATACTAAGTCAATGTACATATTCTTAAAGTTCAGTGCATATTAGAAGTACTTGAAGGTTGTTAAAACACAGAGACATCACAGATAGTGTGATATAGCAAGTCTACAGTGAAGTCTGGGAATTTGTATTTCCTACAAGTTCCCAGGGGGTACTTAGGTTGCTGAGAAGGACTGCAGGTCCTAGCCAGCATTATGTGGGAAGAGAGGAGGTGTGAAACAGGCAGGGATTAATGGGATCTGTTCAAGGTAACAGTTTTCCATATAATTCCTTTTATGGAGGGGTGTGGGGGGGGTGTGTGTGTGTAAAATAAATTTTTAGAGGACTGCACCAAATACTACTGAAAGTTCTTTCAGAGTTAATAAGATTACTTGAAATTCTTCTTGGTAATTGTGCTTGTTATATTTCAATAATCAGTGTTATCTAAAATAAAGTTGTTTTCCTCTTCAAAATTCAAATACCCAGTAAGCAAAACCTCTCCTTTAGAAGCTGTGCTTGCATCATTTCCTTTCTCTTTTTATGTACAAGCTAAGACTAGAAGCAATGAACTAAAACAAACAAAAACAACTTTATGACTTCCAATATGGGACTTTAAAGTCCCAAGAGGTAAGGTAGAAAATAAACATCTTAGATTAAAGTGATTCTAAGTTATACTTTTTAAGGCTTTCCAAATTCTCTTTAGCGTCATCACTTCAAACAATCAATGGGCCTTCATGGCTCAGGCTAAGCAAAATAAGTCAGAAGTCAAAAGACACACAGAATATAGAGAACAAAAGGCCAAATATAGTCAGGCTCACAACAAACCCTAGAAAGTTGATTACAGAACTGTGACGGGGGAAGGGAGCACGAAGGATTGTGGGGATGAACTGAAGCTGCTTTGGAGGTGGGTGTGGCATAGTTTCACTTGAAGGGGAGAGACCCCATACCTCTAAAACACAAAAAATGATTTAAACCAACATTAATAAAATTATAAAAGTTAGAATAAGTCTGTGACTGAGTTCAGGAATATCCTCACATCCCCAATACTAAGTCTCCTTCCTAAAGATAAACAAACAGAAATGAGTCAAAAAAATTCTACAGCACAACAGAATGAGAGACTGTACCTCTGTCTCAAGGAGACTCTTGGGAGAGAAAGAAAAATATTTAAGTTCTTGCTTTGTGGTTATGATATAAAGTTATGTGGGTATAAGAAGAAACAAGCCAAGATGTGAAAATACTGCACAGAAGTAAAGTAATAGAATCTAAAACTGTGTGGCAAACAGAAAAGTTTTTTAAAAAAAAAGAGACACTACAGAAAATTAAGTAGAAAATAAAGCTACAACCTGCTTCTAGAATTTAGGCCAAAAAAAAAAAAAAAAAAAAAGCTAAAGCAGCCCAATCCTGGAATATTAGTTGTTCTAGAAGAAAAAAATAGTGGAAAACATAAAGAAATAATACTTTAAAAAGAAAGCCAAAATTTCTTCATGGATCTAACATAATGCATAATGAAAAGAAAAAAAATGATTTTACATGTATTGATTGTTCTATATGAATAAAGACATCTCTATCACCATTAGGAAGGATTCTCTTTACTGACCCAAAATACAGATAGAGAGACATTTAACTATAGAATGTTAGAAGAAATCCAAACCTGTTACAATCAAAGAACAAAATATTCACCTATATGGCCTCCCCCAAATGAGGTGCCCTATTTTGAAGGGTGGGTAGAAGTTGGGGGAAAAACTCTACCATTTATTTCCTCCATATCTCTGCTCCATTTGTGTGATCTAATTATCCTTGAAATAAGTCATAATTTACCTTTTAAATCCTGTCGGTGAGATTTTCCAGTCAATAAAATACAATTTTACTTACTATTATTTTATAATTCTGAGAATCATCTCACTGTTATAGACTCATCCAAATTTCTACATTTGTTGAGATTTTCTCTTAATTGTACAATTGCCTGCATTATTTTAATTTGTTTTTCCAAAAAGAACCAGTCATAACAATTGGACTGGACTATCAGAAATACATAAAAGCACCAAAATTAAAAGACCCAATGTAATATAGCACTGTTAAGTGAGAAAACATCATTTAAGTAAGTGCTAAAGGACCTTCAATAAAATACAACATAAATAGAAAACTCTGAAAGAATATGTACCAAAATGTAAGAGGAATGTTTTATCATGGATGGACTTAAACATGAGGTCTTCATTTTTTTCTTTTTGCTTCTCTTTATTTCTATTTTTATGACAAACATGTATATGAAATACAAGAAAAGTGAAACTATTATTAAGGGTTTCTGAATCAGATGGTAGTAAGTTAGGAGTAACTAGAAGACAGAAAAGGTTAGAGAGAAGGCCTGCCTCATGTTACAGAAACAAGTTGTAGTACAGTTTTTCTGTGTTCTATTTACATGTTACTTGTTTGGTGGAATTTAAGACTTCTTTTCATTATAATATACCCTGCTGACCTCTTACTGCATACGTCCAAACATTCAAATCGGCTTAGATAAGTCTGCAATAATATAGACATAAAATATTAAGTGAATAAAACAGATTACAAACATACCTATAGTGAGAGTCAATTATGTTAAATAAACATCATGTATTTCAGCTAAGATGGCAGGATATTGAATGTATATTTATATTACCACTTAAGCTAAGAGAAAAATTCCCAAAAATGACAATATTAGAATTTGAATTTGCACTTATTAAAAGAGCTCTTCTAAACTTGGACAGATTTTATCACGTATTATGCTGATGTTTCCATATCTTCCTATATACACAGTAACTTTGCCTTTTAATGCCAACTCATGGTGAAATCACCTTGAAAGCCATTAATTCATGTGGTAGCAACAGGGAATATAGGTCATCTGAAGTGACAACATGAACCATTATGACCAAGGTGACATGCATAGGTAATAATGACAGCTACATCATGACATCTGCCAGGATGAACAGTGAATGTCAGAGCACTCAATTCCAGAGAGGTTAAAAGGGGAAGAAAAGATGTATTTTAGAATTGTTCAAATATATTATCTATAGGGGATAAGACCGTGACTTATTAACATTTCTGTGTATCTCATTTTATTCTAATTAGTTGATATCACGTGAGAATTAGAAAAAAAATTGGTTTTGTTTGGTCTCTGTCTCTTCACTCCTTAGGCAATGGTAGTAATTCTCCCTCAGTCTGGTTGTAATCTATTAAGTATGAGTTCAAATTACCTGTACCCATATGTTGAACAATTATACCATTATTTATCATGATTAGGTTTGTACATTTGTTTTGAGGGAGGGGAGCAGGCTAGAAAAAGAGCAAAGAAGGAAAGGGTTTTTTTTTTTTAAAAAAAAAAAAAAAAGACTTGGGAGTACTTCAAATTTACCCTCAGAACATTTTTTTTAATCCATGATCACAACTGGGCTGAGCCCAATGTCTCCCATTTTTTGACCTATAAATCACAACCTAGAGAAAGTAGTGTTGGCCAATGGGTAGCCCCGGAGGCAGCATTTTTATTATTCCAAAATCCATTTGTTTTCTCATCCTATCATTCTCCGAGAGTAGAGGGGGTATGGGAAGAGGGTTGAGGGGTAGTGTAGAGAGGGAGAGAGCCTGGGTAGTGACATGTAGTAAGGGCAAGTAGAGATATAAGTTTTAATTGAGGATTCAGATTGAATTTGTTCCAGTCCCAAGATATTTCATTCTATTAAGCATAAATTTGAGGTGAGGTGATATCTGTATTCTAGAGCTAGTATTAGTATTCCATGAGTTGATGGTTCAAAGGCCACCTGAAACCACAGTTCCCCCACATTCATTCCCCCTCTACCTCCCAACTAATCCAGACAAGATCCAAGGAAAGAGGTTTTGCCTGAAATGAAGGAGGGAAGATGACGGCATCTGCCATTTTTATATGTAAAGACACAATCAGATCACATCCCTATTACACCCAGAAAAAGTTCATGTACTAGAGCCTCTCAACCCAGAAGGCACATCTAGCTAGGATGTGACATCTGGACAGCTGTCAGCCAGTCCCTGAATACTTGGTCTATGTGCCAGCACCATTCCTTCTGTATTCCTATTTCATGATTTTAACTCCCTCAATAGCCACTGACGCTTGCCCCCACAAAGGATACATGCACACAAAAAAATCTTGGCTATTTATTAGTATACTATCATTAAGTATGTTCAAAAATCATCCACTTAAGTGAACTAGTATTCAGAACTAGTATGTAACTTCTGAGTCCAGAAGTTACATAGTTAAAGAAGTTCCTCTCAGGGAAATAGAATTAAAACCCAGAATTTGGAATTCAGGAGCCAACCAGTTTTCAAAGACTCCATGCAAATACTTGAACTAGACAGCAACACTCAGTATGTTGTTTTTCAAAAGGCTGAATAGTGAGAAAAACATTTCTCCCCACTTCAATTACATGGGCTGAGTCTAAGAAAGGACCACTTAGACCCGAAGGGCAATGCTTGGGGACTTACATAAAGAGGTACTTCGCTGCAGCTCAACTCCATGGCTTCCGCATCTGCAACGAAAATAAAAAATGAGAGCAATTATTGCAGGAGACCCCATGTAAGCAGCCAGCAGAGCTACACCCTGCCCTTCACTATGCATATCATCTAGGGAGGAGTCTGCTCTTTAAGTAAGAAAACGACAAAAAAAATTATAAAGACATGAGATGTTCTGTGTATAAAACATCCTCCCCTTTCTTCTTTCATATTAATTCCCACATGTGAGAAAAACCTGTCACACAGACACTGACTACTGCCTTGGTTGGTTATTCATCACAGACCACTCTGAGGTCAGAATCTACTTTGGGCCAGAAGAGGCAGGATTTGACAGAGGCAAGAGTGTTTTACTGCCTTCAAACAGATGGTCACAGGTTTCAGGGCCAGGAATGGAGCTTGCCATTGGTATCCTGCTAACCCTCCTCTCCACCAGTGGCAGGCATCCTATTCGCCTCTGTATGTGTCTGTCCCCTTAAAAGCTGAACTGAGCAACCAGCTTCTACTTAGAAAAAAAGGAGCCTTGGGCCTCCTTGGTGGCCCAAGTGGTTGGGACACAACCTATGGAGCTCTCAGCAGCCAATGCAGCATGAGTTCAATCCCCGGCCAGGGAGCTACCCACTTGGCGCAGCAGACCTCTCCTGTCTCGCCCGCTGCTCCTCTCAGCAGTGTATTTCAATCTGCCTGTTCTGTTCCCTACTCTGTCTCTGGTGAATACTCTCACCCCCCACACCTCTGGCCTGTACCCCAGTTTTTGTATGCATAAATAAATAAATCTTTAAAAAAAAAAAAAGGAGCCAGCATCATTCAAAAAGGTTCTTTGACTGAACACATTACAGAGAGGTGAGCAGAAAATGACTTGGCTCTTGGGGAGCGCACAATTGAGCAATCTTTAGGGATTAGGAGAAAGTGAAGAATGAGTTGCAGAATTCTGAATAGGGTGGACAGGGAGGCTCTCTGCATGTCCCCTGCCCCCTGCTCGTGGGAGGACAACGCCAGGGCTCTGCTGCCCAGACAACACTCCAGCCACACACAGCACTTGGGGACTTCCCTCCAGGCGACCATATCACAACCTCAGTTCATATCCCAAAGGATAGACTTGGCAGAGAAGAAAATATTAAAAATTCTCCTTTTAAATTAAGTTTTTCAACACCTCACACATATGCCTGCACTGGCCCCCTACTCATAGTTACATTTCACTGGGTCCTTCTAGGCAGAAGGGGACATTTTCAACACTCTGTGCCCTGTGAAAGTTCCTGCGGACCCTGTATCCTGTAGATATGGATTGCAATCAATTTTTAATGAAATGATCTGAAATTGAAAGAATGGTATAAGGCGTTCAGGAAAGAAATTTCAAATTAAATACTAATAACAAGAATATGGCAAAACTGAGATTTTCATTCTTAATATGAATTGTTCACCAACCACACCATGAAATAATAATAATCCCAGAAAACATGGACAAATAGATCCCTCAAAATTCAAAATTATCAAGAAGGTATTTAAAACACAAATGTGTACCTGTGAGCACATACCATGACCTTCACTATAAATACAGGCTGTGCCTCAAGAGACTAGTAATATTCTCACCTCTGCTGCCAGCCACACCATGCACAATCTCAATCACTTATAAAATTTCATTAACTTGGTGACAGAATTGGAAGATCCTTTGAAGATTTCTTAATAGCAAAAGAAATATATTCTGTAGTATATGCAGATAGAGTGGTTTCTAAAAGCTAAAATAACACACAGAATAGGAAACAAACTGAATTATAATACTCTAACAGCCTTCCAAATTTAAATATATTAGAACAAGTTTAGTTGTGTAGAAGGTTTGCCATATACTTATATGAAAGTACAGATGTTTTCCATGACACCTTGGGGTATGTTACATTTTGTCTGATAATACATCAAAAAGAAGCCACTTTGGTGAGAATATGGAGATGTACTCTGAAGAGTGAATTACTTAAAAAATAATGTCCTATAGGAAAACTCTGCAGGTACAACCACTGATAAGGCAACTTCTCAGATAAGAAGTTTAAGACATACCATACGTGAAATTCAGACATTCTGTCCTCATGGCGAGATAGTGCAATTAAGAGCTTGAGCCAAAAGCACAGAGTTCCCTGGGACATCAGTCTTTGTGGTTACTTTTAGAAATAAAACCCTCAAATATGCTCAAATTCTTACAAATTCAGTGACAGGAAAAGACCATAAAAATCTTGACCACTATGAGATGTAATATACTGAAGCAAAGTACTTTAAAAACTTATCAAGCATAATATATCATTTTGTCTTACAAAAATTTAAGAGTTCCAAACTTGCTGGGTTTCCTGACATGAAAAGTAGTTACTTATAGCAAGTGTCTTTTAAAGTAATTTTTTCCAAATAAACATTCTATCCCTTCAAGAAATGGGTGATATTTTAATAAGTGAAAAAGGGCATTTGTACATTACCATTATTTTATTACAAAAATCATGTTAAGTTTGCCACCTACAAAAGTCCTTATATTTACATGGTTTAAATTTTAGATAAAAGAGCTTCTTAGTCTATTTTTTAAGCCTTTCGTAGTGAAAGTTTCATGGGCTTCAAAGAAAAAAATACAACTTACTTGCAGGAGAACTAACATCAAGGGAGATGGGAATTTACTGGTCACATTTCAACAAGAAACTTTACAGCATCATTCCCCTCATATATAAGTGCAACCTGTACTGTACCACTTCTCTGAGAATCCATCCTGAGGTATCTTTTTCCACTATGACACAATATAAACTATTACTTTGAACCAGAAATTCAAGCTGAAATCTCACAAAGTATGAAAATGATTAGACCAAGGTTTTCAAAATAAATACACACATTGGTCACATTACTTAAAAGAGGATTATTAACAAGCTTCACTATACTGTTTACTCTTTATAGCTCTTTAAATTAGGGGATAGGTCTTAGAATATACACTATCAGAATATACAGTGTTAGCATATACACTATGTTGTAGAATACACACTGCATGGTTTATAAATACATAAGGATACATACCACCACATTTTACTTAGCACAGGTGCATGACACTTTGAAGATATGTTCCTGTGAAGTAGAGCTACTCCCCCCAGTCTTTGTCTGAGTACTTTTCCTGATGCTTTTCCCACAGGTTTAGTAGATGAAGGCAGGCGCTGTCGGGTGTGGCAGGCTCCGGAACCCAGGAGTTCCATCTTTGTGCACAGAGAAGGCACTGTAGCTGGACTAAGGAACCCAATACCTCAGCTTTACAAAGGATCCTGTTTCTCCACTTTTCAGTCAGCACAAAGCCAACATCAAATATCACCTCAAATTTGGATTATAATACAATCTCAGCCAAAAGGTAAAACATCAAGGGCTAGACAACCTGTTATTTACATTTCACCTTAAACTAAATAACCATATTACTCCTTCTTACTCTACATTTTCCTGTTTTTTAGCATAGAAGTTTAAACACCATTTTGAGCAACAATTACTTTGTTTTTCAGAGAAACTACTTTTCACTCCCTGAAAAAATAAACTAAAAATTGAAGTCCCCACAGTTCTGAGATTCAGTACCAATCTTTCCAAAACTATCAGAATTTCCTAGTTAAGTTATAGAGGAAACGAGTTTTGGGGCAAATAACTGATAAAATAATCAAACTTCAAACTGAAAGACTATAGAAAATTATATTCTCATTTAGATTGTCCCAAAATTAATTCCACTTTCATACTAAAGAACAATAGGTTCTGTGCTGACTTGCAAAGCTGCTAGGCTAAACCATGCTATACCTCATTTTATATCAACTCTAATAATAAAACAAGTCTGTATTTGCTAGGTAAGTTACAGCTTCCTAATCCTTCACAGACTAACTTTTCACTATATGAATGCCATGTTCTATATACTTAATTGTATTTCCCAATACTTGAGTTCTCCATCTGTAATTCCAGAATTTTTCAGAACCAGGTACATTTTTTCAAATCATACTGCATTTGCAGAAAATGCTTCTTGGAAAGACGAAAGTCAAAACATTCTAGTATTGCTAGTATACACCAGGGAGTGATTTCACACAGTCAGAATTTTTAAGTTGGCTCCCAAAGGCAGGGATGTGGTACAAGATGATAAATCTTATGAAAAGAACCAGATAAAAAAGATACAATGACTTAGACTATAATACATGCAATACCATTGATTGCTAGTTAACTCAGAAGAAAATATTAGATGATTTCAACAGGCAAAAGGGATATTTTAAGTTAAAGAGAAAAAAGTAATATTCAACTTAAACAGGGAAAAAAATTGTTCTTTATAAAATTCTGGGTTTTTCATTTTTTGCATGTAAATGAAATACTCCAAGACTAATTCAATATAAAATCATAACTTTAATTTTGTGTTTGACATGCTGATCATTTACTTGCATGCCTTTTTTTTTCAAAGATCTATTTTATTTATTTATTCGTACAAGAGCTGGGGTGTAGGCCAGAAGTGCGGTGGGGGGAGGAGGTGAGAGGATTCACCAGAGATGGAGTGGGGAGCAGAACGGGCAGATCCACTGAAACATACTGCTGAGAAGAGCAGCAGGTGACACAATCGAGGTCTGCTGCGCCATATGGGTTGGTTCCCTGGCCAGGGATTGAACTTGTGCTACAGTGGCTGCTGAGAGCTACATAGTGCTGAGACTTAACCCCTTGTGCCACCAGAGAAGCTCCCTTTTATTTTTTTACTTATGTTACTTTTTACAAAAACTATTAACTGGTCATACTTAAAGAATATTTATTGATACTATTTGTAACTGCATTTGAAGGTTAATGATGCATCAGGCAGAGTGTTAAGTATTTGACAAACTCCATCTCAGATAAGCATCACAGAAACATTGGAGGAGAGTGTAGAGAGACCTTGTTACTTGAATCTCCTTTTACAAGTCTCTGCAGTTACAAGGTCACACTCAGAAACAAAAGTTAATTAAATAAACTTATAAAATTACAACTCCTTCCCCCACTGATTCTCCACCACCTTCTCCTCCTGTCT